ATTCTTCAGGCCCAACTCACCCCAAAGTTTAGAAGTGTAGACTCGGTCCCAATCGATGAGATGGAGGGGCTTCCTATCTTTACTACTAGCCCATAAAAAATCTCTATGCTTCTTATCAAGATCCTGAATAAMACCTTTTGGGACCTTAAATGATCTCATAATATACTGAGGAATCATGTTACTAGAATCCTTTATGAGAATAATTCTACCAGCAAGGGAGAGACAGTTTCTTTTCCATCATGCTAGTTTACTCTCCATCTTTTCACTTAAAAATTTGAAGGTGTCCTTGTTATATTTGTTGCTAAATACAGGAGCACCCAAGTWATTTTCGGTTTTTGCTTGTAAGGGAATTTTGAGAATTTAACCTCCCCTCCGATTCGCTGACCACACAACACAATGATCGCCTCACTCATCCAACCATTTACTGGGAATATTAATGATATAATGTATAAAAGATGTTTCTAATGTGCAGCTAGATGAACATGGCCAGCAATATGTTGTGGTAAAAAATGTGCAGCTAGACTTCTTTACTTCACCCTCTAGCATCTCTAGTAGGGACTCAAAGGTTATGCACAGACAGTATGGATGCAATTTGGGTAGCCTCTCAACAAAAACACTTTCAACATGATTTCAACATGATCTATATCCACATATCAATGTGTCTGAAATATATTTGAGATCAGTCCGGATCTACTATAGATTCACTCAGATGTCACCATCTGCATTCATTTATTTTTCTTTCTGGCTCAGTTTGGAAGGAGTATAAATCCAAATATATAGTGTAAAACCTTGTATTTTGTATTATTTTATATGTATTTGCATCGTACATATTTGTATTTGTACTCTTTCCAAACTGAACCTCTATTTTTTTTTTTTAACAATGAAACACACAAACCTAACTCTCTCCTTCCCAAACCCTTAGGGGAATAATCTTTTCTCCTTTTGGATAAAATTCCAAGCTCTAATAAATATCATAAAAACGTTCACACTCTACAAATGTGTGAATAATGTGGATTTTTCTGTCAAACCAAATTTTCTATGAAATACCTTGGGGACTTATTGCAAGACTTTACATAAATAATTGCATCTAAAGTAGCGTGGATTGGTCCATGAGATTTAAATGTGGATGATAAATTGCAAGATGGCCTAGTTTAATCCATGCTATAGTGTGGAGCAAACTGAGATACATCTCTGTTAGTGCACCAGTCCAAGAGGACTCTCGTTGTGAAGATAAGACTTAAGCTATGTAAATCCCAGATAAGATAGGACTATAATTCTAGATAAGCCATAACTTGTAGATATTCTTGTATAAATCAAACTCCTAGTAATCATGCACAATCACAACTTTCAATGTATATATATCGAATACATGACAGCAATAACATCAATCAACCTTTGCTGTAGAAACATTCTCTTTCCCTCATCTCTCTCTTCT